AGAAAAGGGCTGGACGCTGGTGAAGTTCAACAAGTCCAAGAAGCGCCAGGCGATTGATTATTTTAAGATGGCTTTGAAAGCAGAACCAGAAAGGAAGGAATGGCACAAAGGTCTTGCCATAGCCATGGGAAAGACATATAAAATTCATAATTGCTCTCCACAGCTTATGGCAGAGATTCTAAAGCAGCTGAAAATTGCACATGAGAACGAACCAAACAATTTGCTCCTTCATGCTCTTTATTTAGAAAAACAGTCTGAGGTGCAACGAGAAGACAATGAGAGACAGATGCAAGATTTACTAGAGAAAACTCTTGAAACTGGAGACCTAGAGTGTTTGGGTACTATTTTCAGGTATTTTGGAACCATTTCTGTAGATAAAGCTATTGAAGCAGCAGAGAGAGCTCGAGAAAAGTTCCCCACCTCAAATAGAGTGTTGAAATATCTGGCAAATTGCTACAAATGGAAGGTTTTCAATATGAAGGAAGACAAAATGGAAAGGAGGACATTGGCTATGAAATCCATGAAGCTGTTTGAGGAGGTTGTCAGACATTATCCTGACTCACTCAGAGAAACGGTAGCCCTTGCATCAATGCACAAGTACGCAGGCAACAGTGAGAAAGCAAATAAGATTTACAAGCAACTCCTGTCAGAGATAGATGATTTCCCTCCCCACAGCCAACAGTATATTTACTATAGTTATGCCTGTTATCTATACAACTGCAGACGGTTAGAAGATTCAATCAACTTTCACATGAAAGTGGCAGAAATCCCAGCTATTTCAGACGACAAACAGAAGAGCATTAAGATTCTTAAAAAAATTGGGATGAATGGCAAAAATCCTCGCTGTGAGGAAATTTGGAATTTTCTGGAAAGAATTCATATTGACGATTAAAATGTGCTTTAATGCAACAACCCTCAAAAATCACTATGGATGATGTTCTCTCTGTTTTACCTGATGGACAAACTATAATGGAGAAATTGTGCTCTGACAGAAAATTAGAACTTGTTGAACTTGTTGTAAAAATATGTATTTAATATTTCTCTCTTTTTTCCCTCTGTGGAGGTCTTTACCTATTTAATGGCATTGTGTGAAGGACTGAAGCCATTTAGGCCGTTCGGCACCTATTTTAAAAGAATGTCAAAGTAAGAACATTTAACCCAGGACAATATAAATAAATATAAATAGTTTTGTCTTTGTCTAATTAATTTCCAGAATGATAAGTGGACATTTCTTAAGTCTTTATTGAAGGATATAAACTGCAGTAATTTTCCATCC